GAGAGAGAGAGAGAGAGAGAGAGAGAGATTTTATTCCTTTAACAACTAACATTGTACCTGATTTATGTATTTGTTCTTGCTTTTTTTAAATCCTTGGAACTGAAATTTTAAAGACATGTTTTTTTGAGACCACACAACCAATACCACATACATTATATTATGTTTTACGAGCTTGTCTCTATTTCTATTAGGTGGTTTTTTATCTTAGCTCTTCAGCTACAAGTTCATGTTCACTATCTTTCTTTCAGAGTGAAAGCAGCAACAACAACTACAACGACAATAATAACTACAACAATAACAACTACAATGACAACAGCTATAACAACAACAACTACAAGGACAACAACAACAACTACAACAGCTACAACGACAACCAATACCAGCGCCCTGTCCAGAAGCCTGTCTACAGCCCTCCAGCCCAAACCTACAGTAGTCAGGACCAGGACTATTCCCAGAAGACCTACAATCCCCCCGCACCTTCCAAGACGTACCACAACCCACCCGCCCAGACGAACCACCAGTATCCCAGCCAGGGCAACACTTACTACAACAAGCCAGTCCAGACCTACCCCGAGACGTACAACAACAACAACAACTACCCCAGCAACACGAAGACGTACACACAGACGCAAGCCCAACGCCCACAGTACCCATCTCCGTCCATTCCTCAACAACCTGTTTACGTAAAACCCTCTCAGGGAATGGGACAGGGTGGCTTCAAGGCGCCTATGATGTACCCATTCCACCCTGGTCACTACCCGTTGGTTAGTCCGTACCACATGCCGGTCATCCCCGTTTACCAACCTGGCATGTTCCAGCCGATGTTTTCCTACCCCGGGCAGCAGAAGGGTTCCTCCGGGCAAGGCAATGTTTTCCGGCCAGCTATGGGCAGCGGAAAGGACTCGAAGGATGATGGCTACGACTCCGAATCGGAGGAAGAGATGATGGAATCGTCAGAAGAAGAGGATGAAGAATCTTACGACATGGACCGAAAATCAACCATGAACAACCACAATTCTTTTGATTCGAGTAAAACGTCTTCAAAATCTGATTACAATGACTACGATTCGTACAGCAAGACGTCTCGAGTCGACTACCAGAACTCGTACAAGGGTTCTTCTTCAAATTTCGATTATTCGAACAACAAGGGCTCAATCGGAAACGACAGAGACTACGGATTCGACTACAAAACTTACGACGATGGCTCTCAGTCCAACAAAGGTGGATGGTGGAATCAAGGTGAGGTTGGGTCAGACCCTAGTGTGTGTGTGTGTGTGTGTGTGTGTGTGTGTGTGTGTGTGTGTGTGTGTGTGTGTGTGTGTGTGTGTGTGTGTTTGTGTTTGAAAAGTTTTGCCTCATTGCAAGAAAGTTATTGGTAATTCTTGATCTCAGAATAATAATGGCCAACCCATGTTGAGATAAATACTTCGTCCTGGCAGAAAGACCCAGGTACTCGAGAACAATTATTCTCACTAGACGGGACATAGACCTTGACCATCATTAATTTATTTATAGAGGCTCCAGCCATCCACCTCCACGGGCTGTATTTGTCTAACTCAGGTCCTTTTTACGCAACGTTAAAGCGCCTAACCTCTTCCTCACAGACGCTGATCCAGACAGATATCCTGACAGAACTGATCATAATACTATTTGTGTAATAACCTCACGCTTCTATGTCTTGATTAGGTTCACATTCCGGTGGTAGATGGCACAGCCACTCAGGAGGAAACCTGCAGACCGGCGGGGGAAAGAAGGTTTTCTGGAACAAAGGCCAAGGCGGTAACAAGGGTGGTTTCTTTGGGTGAGCAAAAGTGTGTTGTTTTTTTTGTTGTTGTTGTTGGTTGTTGGTTGTTGTTGTTTTTGTTGTTTTTTGGGGGGGCGTTCATTTGTCTTTTATAATGGCATCATGGAAAACATTGAGCGTGTGAATATTTCACGCTCATAACTATATTTAGATCATGCAAGAGGTGGAGTGGCTCTTTACCGTTCTCAGCCAACCCGGGCTGAGAGGGATACAACATCCTGGCTGACAGAAGCTCTATCAAAATCCTCCGGAACCACGTCTTCCTCCATGGGCGGCGAAGAGGCTGACCGCTATGCAGTACGACATGCTGGTTGACATCATTGAAAGTTCACTATTAGGTGCTGACAAAATAACTTGCTGATGCCTGAAAAAGAATCTAGCTCGCTCCCTCATTCTTTCTCTTTCCTCCATACCTCTAGTCTTTAATAATTAAGGTAGGTTAGATCGAGAACAGGAGAGAGTAAGTAAGCCGCCACCCACGCCAAGTTCAAAGTTCAAAAACGTAAAGAAAAATATCTCTATCAGACCTGTAAAATAGTACGACACCCCTTCCACCTTCCGCGACTTCAAACGTATTGGCCATATCTTTTAGAAATATCTAGGGGATTTTGTCTCGCTTGATTGCTTTAAGGTTGTTGGTGGGAGGGGGGGGGTTGTCGTTTTGTTTGTTTGTTTTTTAGGACGTAGGGGAGGGGGGGGGACTTTCAGTTGTTAAAGAATAACGACGATGTGATTCCTTCTTTTTCCCTATCAAGCGGCGGCAAAGGTAAAGAAGGGAACGGCAAGTCCTATTACTACTACGACAACGCCGGTACTTCCAACAAGGGTGGCAACAACTACTACTACGACTACAGCGACATAGCCGACTATCTGGACTACCCACACATGGGAGGGGGCAACACTCAGTCCTTCTACGCGCCGAGCCAGGACTACAAGCAGTATGTTCTCTTAGAGCTTTTTTAATTGTTGTTGTTGTTGTTGTTGTCGTCGTCGTCGTTATTGCCGTTGTTGTTGTAAATATTATGTTGTTGTTGTTGTTCTTCTTCTTCTTCTTCTTCTTCTTCTTTTTTTCTTCTTCTTCTTCTTCTTCTTTTTCTTCTTCTTCTTCTTCTTCTTCTTCTTCTTCTTCTTCTTCTTCTTCTTCTTTTTCTTCTTCTTCTTCTTCTTCTTCTTCTTCTTCTTCTTCTTCTTCTTCTTCTTCGATGAAAAAAAGACAAGATAATGATAACGAAAGTAATTACAAGAATACTGTTCGCGATAACCACAATAATAATAATAATAATAATAGTAATGTAAATGCAATAGTAATAAACGTTTGCCATTAATACAGCATTGTTTAACTTCATTATTCAATTCAAAAAGTTATAATTGTTCTCTTTAATTACTTGAACTGCACTTTTGTCCCTTTTGCGTTTACAGACAAGGCTACTTCAAGAGTGGAGCACTCTCCAACCCAAAGTACTTTGGAGACGCTTTCAAAGGGTTCGCCTCTAGCCCGGTGGTGAAACAGAACTTGCAAGTGAGTGAAAGACCCACAGCCTTTTCTGAGATGGGTGATCACTAGATTGTGTCTTTGACTGAGAAAAAACACGATAACACAAGCTCGATAACTTGGCTCCGAGCAGTGGTGACCACCTACAGTGGTGCATTATGTTGCGTTGGTGATTTAGTGTTCTATGTATGCATTATTAAATAGAGGTATGTATGATGTGTGTGTGTGTGTGTGTGTGTATGTGTGTGTGTGTGTGTGTGTGTGTGTGTGTGTGTGTGTGTGTGTGTGTGTGTGTGTGTGTGTGTGTGTGTGTGTGTGTGTGGGCACACGTCCTAATGAATGAAATCTCCCCCTCCCCCCAAATTTCCCACTCTCCACTTTCCCTATATGCCTCACCCCCTCCTCTCTGTCTCTCTCTCTCTCTCTCTCTCTGTCTCTCTCTCTCTCTCTCTCTCTCTCTCTCTCTCTCTCTCTCTCTCTCTCTCATTTCTCCTATTTCTACTCCTCCTAATCATCGTCCAGGATTTAAAGAGAAGGGTTTTTTTTTGGTCCATGATTTTACGTAGTATGATCAATTATTATAGTGTCCGGCATCTGTTTTGAAAGACTGATACTTTCTGTTTAGCATGTCTAGAGAGGTGCGTTCAATCTCCCCTTGAGGAAAATATTTAATGCAATATGTATGAATTTCTATTGAGATGCTACCGCTTGTATCTAGTTTGGTCAATAAAAGTAGAACCAAGTATCAAAAATATTTTTTTTAAAATATAACTACTTTGTGGATCATAAAAATGATTGTATTTTACGCCATTAAAAAAAACTCACGTTGGGCCATTCATGAAGTAGGCTGCGTATTCCATGCCTGTCCTGTCCAACTCAAGCTAAAAGGGACATAATATCCCAATAAAACAATGCTGTGTTAGTTGTTTCGGTTTTGAAGCGGATGCAAATCCTTTAAAACAGCATCAAATTCCAAGTCACAAGAGTGAGGGTTAGTACAAAAGGAAACTAAAAATTCGTGGAACGCATATATCAGCCGGAAAAATTGTGAACCATAACGGGGGATTTTCTACTGTGAACAATAAGCTCAAGTAGTAAGAAACTGGAGTTACTGCATAATAGCACTCAGCCAGCGAAACATGAGAATGTAAAAGGATGATATCTTGTTATAGTACCGTACCTGTTAATATTTTAAAAGCTAAAAAAAATGGTCATCGTAACATCATAGAAATCGCCGAATCAAATTCCTGAAGCACCAATAAAACATCTCAGATGGAATGAGACATGTATACAGGCACGACTAACAAACATCCTCTCCTGTTTCAGAAACTCGACGACGCAAACGAAAAGGTGAAATACGTGCACTACGACCACACAGGAAATGGCTACGGTACCGGAGGCCACTCTTCCGGGGGATACGGGGGCGGCTATTATGGCGGCTCTGGCTCCGGCTCCGGCTCCGGCTCTCTCATCCCTCTCCTCCTCCTCGGTTCGCCCCAGGGGACTCAGCTTTTGTTGCAGGCTGCCTTGTTGTCCAAGCTGAAAAATGTTGGAGGAGGAGGAGGAGGAGGTACTGTTGTTCATTTCCATTTGATCGAGTGTGACACCCTTCAAAATAAAAATAAAAAATGTTATAGATCTAGGTTTAACGCCCCTATCAACGCTGTTAGTGTTAAGTTATTAATGAGTCGGGGCCTCCAAGTTTGTCGTACTTCTCTGAAAGGACCAAGCCAAGTGGGAAACTGATGTAAAGTTCCTTTTCCAAGGACACAACGTTGGACCAAGCTGAAGCTCAAACTTATAAGAAAGAAACGAGAAGGACGGAGGTGTTAGTTTAGCAAACCACACCAGAGCACCCGCCTACCACCCACTTGGTGTTATGGTAGGCTGCATAAAATGTATCAATTTGGAAGAGACAAACGAAAGAGATGGGAGTTTGAGATGATACACTGAATACAATACTGAGCCATTGAATATCTCTTACTGTGGAACTAGATATTTATGTGTGTTGCTCTAATTTATTTGCTTTTCTAATGTAGAGTTGGCGTTCCGTTGTTTTCCACACCCAGATCCATTCATATTCCTCTACTCTCTAAGGAAATGGCTAAGGATACTATTACTTCTTTCCACGACCATTGTTTTCTCCACTACGTTCACTGCTTCTGCCGGTTTAACTACTATACCACTACTACTATATACTACTACTACTACTACTACTATTACTACTACTACTACTACTACTACTACTACTACTACTACTACTACTACTACTACTACTACTACTACTACTACTACAACTACTACTACTACTGCT